TGAAGGCAGACTGAGGCTGAGGCTGCAGCATGCTGAGGCTGAGGCCGATGCAGGCAGAGGCTGAGGCAGAGCAGGCTGAGGCTGAGGCTGAGGCAGAGGCAGGCTGAGGCTGAGGCAGGCTGAGGCTGAGGCCGAGGTGACGGCAGACCGAGGCTGAGGCTGACGCAGGCTGAGGCTGAGGCTGAGGCTGAGGCAGGCTGAGGCTGAGGCAGGCTGAGGCGGAGGCTGAGGCAGAGGCAGGCTGAGGCTGAGGCAGGCTGAGGCTGAGGCCGAGGTGAAGGCAGACTGAGGCTGAGGCTGAAGCGGGCTGAGGCTGAGGCTGAGGCTGAGGCAGGCTGATGCTGAGGCAGGCTGAGGCGGAGGCTCAGGCTGATGCAGGCTGAGGCTGAGGCAGGCTGAGGCTGAGGCCCAGGCTGACGGCAGCCTGAGACTGAGGCTGAAGCAGGCTGAGGCTGAGGCTGAGACAGGCTGAGGCTGAGGCTGAGGCAGGCTGAGGCTGAGGCTCAGGCAGAGGCAGGCTGAGGCTGAGGCAGGCTGAGGCTGAGGCCGAGGTGACGGCAGACTGAGGCTGAGGCTGAAGCAGGCTGAGGCTGAGGCTGAGGCTGAGGCTGAGGCAGGCTGAGGCTGAGGCAGGCTGAGGCTGAGGCTCAGGCAGAGGCAGGCTGAGGCTGAGGCAGGCTGAGGCTGAGGCCGAGGTGAAGGCAGACTGAGGCTGAGGCTGAAGCAGGCTGAGGCTGAGGCTGAGGCAGGCTGAGGCTGAGGCTGAGGCAGGCTGAGGCTGAGGCGCAGGCAGAGGCAGGCTGAGGCTGAGGCAGGCTGAGGCTGAGGCCGAGGCTGAGGGCAGACTGAGGCTGAGGCTGAAGCAGGCTGAGGCTGAGGCTGAGGCTGATGCAGGGCTGAGGCTGAGGCAGGCTGAGCTGAGGCTGAGGCTGATGCGGGCTGAGGCTGAGGCAGGCTGAGGCTGTGGCTGAGGCTGAAGGCAGATTGAGGCTGAGGCTGAAGCAGGCTGAGGCTGAGGCTGGCTGAGGCTGAGGCTGAGGCAGGCTGATGCTGAGGCAGGCTGAGGCTGAGGCTGAGGCTGATGCAGGCTGAGGCTGAGGCAGGCTGAGGCTGAGGCCGAGGCTGAAGGCAGACTGAGGTGAGGCAGACGCTGAGGCAGGCTGAGGCTGAGGCGGCTGAGGCTGAGGCTGGAGGCAGGCAGGCTGAGGCTGAGAGCAAGGCTGAGGGCTCCAGACCGGGGTGAGGGCTGACTGAGGCTGGGCAGAAGCAGGCAGAGGCAAGAGGCAGAGGCAGGCTGAGGCCGAGGCTGAGGCAGGGCTGAGGCTTAGCTCAGGCAGCAGGCAGGCTGAGGCGATGCAGGCTGAGGCTACTGCCAGCTGAAGGCATACTTGGGGCTGGAGCTGAAGCCGGCTGAGCCTGAGGCTGATGCTGAGCAGGCTGATGCTCGGAGGCGGCATGCGAGGCTGAGGCGGGAGGCAGAGGCAGCTGAGCTGAGCCAGGCTGAGGCTCCCATGAGGCCGAGGCTGAAGGCAGACTGAGGCTGAGGCTAGAGGCTGAGGCTGAGGCTGAGGCTGCTGAGGCTGAGGCTGAGCTGAGGCTGAGGCTGAGGCCGAGGCTGAAGGCAGACTGAGGCTGAGGCTGAAGCAGGCTGAGGCTGAGGCTGAGGCAGGCTGAGGCTGAGGCTGAGGCAGGCTGATGCTGAGGCAGGCTGAGGCTGAGGCTGAGGCTGATGCAGGCGGAGGCTGAGGCAGGCTGAGGCTGAGGCCGAGGCTGAGGCAGACTGAGGCTGAGGCTGAAGCAGGCTGAGGCTGAGGCAGAGGCTGAGGCTGAGGCTGAGGCTGAGGCAGGCTGATGCTGAGGCAGGCTGAGGCTGAGGCTGAGGCTGATGCAGGCTGAGGCTGAGGCAGGCTGAGGCCGAGGCTGAAGGCGAGGCTGAGGCTGAGGCTGAAGCAGGCTGAGGCTGAGGCAGAGGCAGGCTGAGGCTGAGGCTGAGGCAGGCTGAGGCAGGCTGCTGAGGCAGGCTGAGGCTGAGGCTGAGGCTGATGCAGGCTGAGGCTGAGGCAGGCTGAAGAGGCTGAGGCCGAGGCTGAAGGCAGACTGAGGCTGAGGCTGAAGCAGGCTGAGGCTGAGGCTGAGGCAGGCAGGCTGAGGCTGAGGCAGGCTGAGGCTGAGGCTGAGGCTGAGGCAGCAGGCTGAGGCTGAGGCTGAGGCTGAGGCTGAGGCAGATGAGGCTGAGGCTGAAGGCAGGCTGAGGCTGAGGCTGAGGCAGGCTGAGGCTGAGGCTGAGGCTGAGGCTGAGGCTGAGGCAGGCTGAGGCTGAGGCAGGCAGGCTGAGGCTGAGGCTGAGGCCGACGGCAGACTGAGGCTGAGGCTGAAGCAGGCTGAGGCTGAGGCAGAGGCAGGCTGAGGCTGAGGCTGAGGCAGGCTGAGGCTGAAGCAGGCTGAGGCTGAGGCTGCGGCTGATGCAGGGTGAGGCTGAGGCAGGCTGAGGCTGAGGCCGAGGCTGAAGGCAGACTGATGCTGAGGCTGAAGCAGGCTGAGGCTGAGGCTGAGTGAGGCTGAGGCTGAGGCAGGCTGAGGCTGAGGCTGTGACTGCGACTGCCTTTGCCACTGCGACTGTTATCGCGAATGCGACTACGACTGCGAGAACAACACAATTCTACAACTTGATTCTCATCTGAATCTCAAGGGGAATGCTTCCAGATATGCTCCTACACATCGCTGTTAGGTTGATTTGCCGGGATATTTTTTTGATCGGTTTGTGGGCACCTCCCACGCCGACCGCTCGATGGAGTTCATTCGGCGCGCCGGATGGGCTCCTTTCGGAAGGGCCGGGTGGGAAGCCACGGAGCCCAGGTGGCCCCCGGGAAACCCGGGGCCTCTGGAAGGCCTGGGAGGCCCCGGGGCCCCTGGAAAACCCAAGCGCCAGGGCCCAAGCCCCGCCGCCCGCCCCTACAACGAGACGGCGCTTCCGGGTACTCAACGGCCCCCCGCCTCCAACGCAACGCTCACATGCACCTGTGCTACACAACCTCCGTCGCAAACAGAACGCCCGTCTGCTCGGCTGCCTCCGTCTCCCACACCACACCCGTCTGCAACGCGGCCTCCGCAGCCCACAAGAACACAAGTACCCACGACACCGCCCGCTGCCCGCACCGCCCGGCTCTCTGGCGCAGTGCACATCTCCTCCTCCTCCTCCTCCTCCTCCTCCTCCTCCTCCTCCTCCTCCTCCTGCTCCCCCTCCTCCTCCTCCTCCCTCCTCCTCTTCCTCCTCCTCCTGCTCCTCCTCCTCCTCCCCCTCCTCCTCCTCCTGCTCCCCCTCCTCCTCCTCCTCCTCCTCCTCCTCCTCCTCTTCCTCCTCCTCCTCCTCCTCGAGATAGCTGCCAGCTCGGCTGGAGCCCCTCGCTCCCCGCCAGCCCGCGCCATCGGAGCCCCCGCTCCGTCCCCTCCCTCCCGCTCCCTCCCCTCGCGGCGCCATGTCCGGCACGGGCGCGGCGGCGGCGCCGGTGCGGCGCCAACGCAGGCCAAACCGGACGGCGGCCGAGCGGAGGGCCCAGTACCGCAGGGCCGCGGGTCGCACGGTGCAGCGCCTCCTCGCCGCCTTCGAGGAGCTGCGCGGCCATCGCGGCGCCGAGCCGACGCGCCTTGGCGCGGCGCTCGCGGCCGCGCTCGCGCCTGCGCCCGCGGCGGGCCCTGAGGAGGCTGGATGCGCTCCTGGCGGCGGCGATGCAGCCGCTGCGAGCGATGGCGGCCCAGGCGCGCTCGCAGCCGCCCCCCCTCTTCCTGGGCCTCACGGTCGTGACGACGGGGAGCGAGCTGACGGCGGGGCCGCCTGGGGCGCCTCCGAGAGGCCCTTGGAGGTGCCGCAGGCGCCAGAAAAGGTGGTGGCGGAGGCGTCGGTCGAGGCCATAGCGACGCGGGAGATGCAGGCTGGGCGTGACAGTGCAGCCCAGAGCTGGGCATCCAGCGCGGAGCGGGAGAGGCTCCTCGGCGACATCGACGTGCTGCGGGGCGGCGCGCCGAGGCGCGATTTCGGGCCCCCACGGGGGATGACTGCCCTGCAGGGAGGCGCTGCTGGGCAGGATTCGCAGGCAACGGGCGCGACGGGGCTGACGATCGACTGGAGCACGCCCACGTCTGTCCCAGGCGCGACCCCAGCGGACTGCCCGCAGAGCTGATCCCTCTGGCCTCTTCTGGCGAAGAAGCAGCGCCGCATACCCAGGGAGGCCTCTAGAGAAGAGGGAGGCGCGTACCTGGGGAGCGGCCGCCGCACACCCTGGGAGGCCCCTAGAGAAGTGGGGGGCGAGTACCAGGGGAGTGGCAAGAGCTGCTCACAGTGGGCACTGTATGGACATTTTGTTGTCGTGGTGCTCACTTATCTTGTGTTCAATTTTCGAAGTGATTTCGCTCATCGCCACGCTTCTCGTGGAGGAACATGAACAGTCGTGCATTTCTGTGATCTGGCGTACACTTGCTTTCTTGTGTGGCATTTGGTCAGTCGTTGTACATGTCTGTAATAAGGTGAACAGGAGCACAAAGACAACGACCCACACAACTCAGGGATGGCCGGAAGACAACATCAAACACGGGGAGGGCTAGGAGGAGGAGGAGGAGGAGGAAGAGGAGGAGGAGGAGGAGGAGGCGCCGCTGGCCCGCCCGCCCCTCTCCGCCCCTCCGCCCCGCCCCGCAGCTCCTGCTGGGGACCCTCCCGCTGCTCGACAGCCCCGCGCACGTGCGCCGCCCTCGGCGCCGCTGCCCGCGGGCGTGGGCCCGTCGGGCCCCCAGGGGGCGCCGTCCCGGTGCATCCAAACGCCGGGAGTGCTGGATGGAACATGCGGGTGGGGGGAAGGAACGTTTGTGGCGATGCAAACAAGGTTCGACGGCGAAGCAACGAGCGCCAAATCTGATCACGGAGCAGCTTCCACCCAGGAGCGCGCCGCCCACGGAGGGGGACAGAAGCACGGGGGGGGGAAAAGAAAGAGCCGACCCCCCCCCTGCGCCTGGGCGCCCTCTCGGTGATGACAGATGAAGAAGGCATACGTGGGAAAGGGCTTGAAGTAGTAAAACGCCGAGGCCGCGACGAGGACAGCTCCCACGGCGAAGAAGAAACCGACGAGCACGGAGGCAAAGGCCGGGATCGAGGAGTTCTGGACGTCCACGTTCGCCGCCATCGCTCCGCAGATGAGGACCATCAGCAGCGTGGAGCTGCAGGCCGCGTCGGCGTAGTTTGCCGCCGCCAGCTTCCAGGGGGCGAGCTCCACCTGCAACACCATGGTGGCCAGGATGAGGACGGACGTGCAGATGACCTGACGGGACTGTCTTGTCACAGCCACCCAGGCCTCCGACTTCTTGTTCCCCCACCTCCTGAGGCAGGTGTCCTTGTTGTTACTCAGACGCCTCCGACTTATCCTTCTCACTTCTCCTCCCTCCTCCTTCTCTCCCTCACCCAAGACTCAATCCCACTTTGTACTCACTTGCGCTTCTTCCTCACTCAGTCAGACTTTTTCAGACTCATACCTACTCATCAACATTCAGACTCACTTGCGCTGCGACTTGTACTCGGTCGAAACCCACTCTGATCCACTCAAGATCAGACTCATCCACACTTATAGTTCACTTACATCCAGACTCGACTCACACCCAGGCTCACCCGCACTCAGACCCACTCACATCATGATATACGCACACACAGTCTTACTCACACTCAGACCCGCTTCTATCACCCATGCTCACACCGACCGATCAGCACTCAGACTCACTCACACTCATACCCATGCTCATTCCTACCCAGTATCGATCACACTCAGGCTCACAGAATGCAAGCCTCGAGCGAAGCGGTGATTCCAACACTCCCAAGGGAGCCGCCGCCAGGGTGTCTGCACGGGCCCGTCCGCGCCCAGATTGTTGGGTTTCTCACGTGGTTTGCCTGTTTCGGTGCTCTGACCCGTCTGCACTCAAAGCAGATTGTGAGGATGTCTCAAACGAGCTGCTAGTTTCAGCACGCCCAAAGGGGAGGCGCCAGGGTATTTGCATGGGCCCGTTCGCGCCCAGATTGTGGGGATGCC